TTTTTAACAAAATGATATGAAAATCCCATATGTGTATGTGTTTTATCCATATGTTTTTTTTTTTTTCGTTCAAGCTAGCTTACGTATTTATAGAAAATGGTATAGTAGTGCAAAAACCATGAGCCAATAGAAAATCGTTTTCAAATGAACGTCACACCCATTAACAAGCAGGTGTAATACAACTGTATCGTTTATATAACTAAAATGAATTAAAAATTGTTATCAAATTATTTTATACATGTGTAATTTATCTCGAAGTATTTTATTTATTTCATCTTATATCAGTAATGGCCAATGCTGTTTGTATCATAAAGAATATAATTTTGCTCAGGTGTTACAAGTACAATATTAAATACATAGTTTTGTTTGCGGTTTAAAGCTAAAAGATTGTTAAAGCTATGACCTTTTTCACTAAAATGAAAAGTTTAATATCTAGCCATTAATGCCGATAATCATTGAAGTTGAGACTATGTTTTACTGGTGTAAATTACTACATTCTAGTACCTAAACTGCCAGTCGCTAACCAAACAGGCATATACAGGTTGTTACATATGCTTACTTTTATCTAATTATAGTACTTATAATTTTGGTTTAACCCATCTTTTGCAATGTCTGTTGTCATGTAATTGTGACCATTGACTAAATAAAATGATTTTGTTGTTGTTTTTTTTGTTGTTGTTGCGATTCGAGGACAGTTAGTCCTGTCATTTAGATCTACTGTATGATGTGCTGAACATATGTTTACAGTTTTGGGTACCTAGTTCTTTGATTCGTCGATAAGACGTTTATTTTTTGAACGCTGTATTTCCAGCCTGATAAAATTCTACAAAAGTAAAAATTATCTCTAAACTTAGATATAACAGCAGTGATGAATTAAACTGTTGTTTGATTTGAATTCCAATCAATATTCATTAAATAAAAATGATGCTTTTAACATAAGGAAATATATAATCAAAATAATATCAAAAGTTATCATAAAAGCAATTAACATAATTGTTTGCTATATATATAATTTGTGGTCTATATAGCATAATAAACAGGTTTCTTGTCGATAATGTGAAACAACAAGCACGATATTTCTTGCTTTAAAGTTTGTAAACAAATGTCTTTATAATTCCAAGTAAGGTCTAGTCAATCTGAAACAAGGGAAGTTTGATAAATGCATGCATGTTTTGACGGAATTTATTGAATAGGACTGAACAATGGCAATAATTCAATTGAATTGCATATAGTCTTTATATTTTGGCAACACATATTGACGACTGTCTTAAAATGATGAATTTATACAGAATGCTGTCCATCATTGTGTTCAATCCGTTACAATTTATAGTAAATTTATAGTTAAATTTGTTATATCGTAAAAAACTTTGAAATCAATAGAGACATGTCTAATCAGTTACTGCATAACTATCTAGCTCCGAAATGTAAACCATAAGATGTTAACATCGGTTCATTTTCATTGTGTAATAATATAATTGTGCTCTCCCATTTTATATATGTGTGTCAATTATATATGTTATTTTCGTAAATGTTAGTTAAACATTGGATTTTAATACGTAAATCCAGAAAAGAGAGATAACTATTACTGCATCAAAATCTGTGAATATTATTGCTCCGGGATAAAAAAAAATCACTGTTTTAAAGAATCCGGTGACTTTTAACCCTAAGAATATCTAATCCTTATAAAATACTTTCATAAATATTGATCAATTAACTTCCTCGATATGAGGCAAAGTCCTCTAGACAAACAGATTGAGAATATTTGAGCCGCGCCATGATAAAACCAACATAGTGCATTTGCGATCAACATGGATCCAGACCAGTCCGCGCAGTCTGATCAGGATCCATGCTGTTCGCTATCAGTTTCTCTACTTGTAATAGGGTTGGTAAACGAACAGCATGGATCCTGATCAGACTGCGCAGATGCGCAGGCTGGTCTGGATCAATGCTGGTCGCAAACGCATTATGTTGGTTTTATCATGGCGCGGCTCATTTATGAAATCCTTGTTCAACCAGTTTTAATGAATTTTGTAGACTCTAAAATAATCACTTCTTAAGTTTTCTACATGCGCAATAAATTAAAACTTCTTTCGTAAATCATAGCGTAATGTAAGTCAGTGTATAAAATGTTTAATTAAGTTGAGAAATTCTTAAGTTGCTTATCTTGTATTAGCAAGTGATAAAGAAAGAATAAAATTAAAGTTAATGAATGACATTATACACATTGAAAACTAATTAACTCATTTAATCAAAAACTAATATAACTGATTAGAAGACAGAAAAGACAGAAAAACACGCACATTTCTCCTTTAAACTCCATTGTAATTCATTTAAAAAAGAAAGATTTACTTTTAAGAATGTTGTGCCTGGTAAATGTATAATAATAATCATAATCAGACAAGCCACACAAACACGAACATTTAGTAATTAAATTTAATTGCAAACGTTTCGGCTATATGCCTTCATCAGTGCAAAACATAATAAAATTACCGGAAGCGACGTCATAACGGAACACGCGTTAAACGCGCGAAAAACGTTATGGCGTTTAGCGGCAAAACTATGATAACATGTAGAAACAAATATTTATGCTATAAATAAAGCTGGTACATGAATTAAAATGGATCAACAGTGATACAGATGTCTATTAGACAGTGTTAATAAAAATAAGATAATAGACAAACATATTAATATTCATGTAACGCATTATAAATCAAACAATACTTTATTATTTAGTCCATTTGGAATCATAGTATTTAATTTATGGATCCAAAAAGATTCTTTACATAACCGGTCCATGTTGTTTTCTATAATTTCTATAGGTAAAAATGAAAAATCTGACAATGAACACTTATTATCGTTTGATCCGAAATGGATCGCAACATGTTTAAGAAGTAGATGTTCACATTGTAACAATATAATTGTTGGTTCCCAATTTAATAGCAGCATAACAGGTAGTTCTTTTGATTTACACAATGATGTTAATTGTACTACGCGTAATGTAATTTACCTCATTACATGTAAAGGCTGTAAAAAGCAATACGTAGGTCAGACTAATCAAAATGTATCATGCAGAATGAATAAACATAGATTTGATATAAGAAATTGTGACGTTAATCCAGTTTCACATGTTGCGATCCATTTCGGATCAAACGATAATAAGTGTTCATTGTCAGATTTTTCATTTTTACCTATAGAAATTATAGAAAACAACATGGACCGGTTATGTAAAGAATCTTTTTGGATTCATAAATTAAATACTATGATTCCAAATGGACTAAATAATAAAGTATTGTTTGATTTATAATATGTTACATGAATATTAATATGTTTGTCTATTATCTTATTTTTAATAATAATCATGGTAGAGTAGGAATGGCTGATAATGAAGTTACATTCAGTGGATGTAGATATGTTTACGTTGATAGTTTTTCAACCAATTCACGCTTCCTTTTCGGATCACTTTCCCGAAGGCCAGTGGGAAAATGAAAGTTAATCACAAGTCTAACTAATCTGGACAAAAGATAGTACCGAGAAATGACTTTTAAACAGACGTAGAACAACAGACCATTTGTCAGTCAAGTTAAATTACCGAACATTTCAGTTTATTGCAAAGTCGTCCGATGCCCGACAGCTTCATAAGCGTAGTCGGTAAATTTCCGAAACAATCGATCAGTAATTGATCATTTATCTTTACAAATGAAATAAGGCATTCTTATGAGCAGCTATATCTTAAAGGAAATGTTTTGTTAATTAATTACATTATTATCCAGGCATAACAATTCATCGATTATTTATCTTTTTTCTTTTCATGAACCTCCACAAACCCGTAAATGTTTATAAAAATGCACAAAAATAAGTACAGTAGCAAAAACATAATGAGGTCTGGAATGCAAAACAATTACCTTATAATTGATTTGGTGATGAAGATTTTGAATGGGTAAATGTCAGGCTAAAACGTTTTTGGTCGTCCAATGAGTGATTTAAAGTGTTAAAAATATGAAGTCCGTGTGAATTATGAATAAAGTATTATTGTAAATTTGTCACTTGACTGTATTAAGGTTTATGTATACATTTCTGAAAGAAAGCTTTACATTTTTTCTCTGTAATTCAAAGAAAACAGATATGATAACAAACGAGGGAGTTCCTCATATAACATAACAATATATGAGTATTTATAGCTCTTTTCCGATTTGTTATCTCTAAAGAAATGGTATCAGTATCAATCAGTGATGAATTATTTATTCGCCCTCTAATGGTACCAGATTAGTGAGATTAAATTATTTCAACAGCTGTATAAAGAAGTAACAATTAATCGGACTGAGTGGTAAAGTTTTATATAAATATATACTAGTATATATATATATCATAATTCCATAACATGCGTTTGTTTGAATGTTGTTGTTTTGTTGTTGTTATTTTTTGTTTGTTGTTTTTTGTGTGTGCGCGCACGGGGGGGGGGCGCGTGCGTGCATGCATGCATTCACGTGCGTGTGTATGTGTTTCAAGCCATGCTGATGTGGTAACTTAAAGGTTTTCTGGGAGTTGGGATAGTCCTTTGTCAAATTGGAGCTGGAAAATGAATACCCATTACTTAATTGAATAACTTCCGTATATTTCAGTTACCACTGTAAATTATTATGCACATAAACAAAAAAAATTAACATTTTCTTTATTTTTGTTTCTTTTAAAAAATATACAATTATTAACTTCCTTGTTGCATGAGAGAATTTCAAATTCGTTACATTATTTGTAAAATGTTGTAGTAAACTGTATAATATTCTATATCATTAATCGTATGCTGGCCTGTTATACTCTTATTTGTTTGTTTGTTTAATTGAGTTTTTTACGTCACACCGACACACTAAAAGTCATAATATATGGCCACGTTCCAGCTTTACTGGTGGAGGAAGTCCTCAGGTGCCCTTCCAAGCATTATTTCAAGCACGATCGGGCACCTGAGTAGAACCACCGACGTTCCGTAAGCTAGCTGGATAGCTTTCTAACATGAAAGGATCCAAAGCCTTGTCGGGATTCGAACCCACTGTGGTGAGGGGTCTACCGTTATACTTTAGTATAAATTAAAATATGTTACATACCATTCATTCACATTAAAATCTCAGAAAATGAAATCCACTTGTTGCTGAACATATTTGCAGTAAAGTTTACTGGCGCTGTTTCATTGTCAATCCGCTATTACTGAAATAATATTAAAGAGCAATGAATAGATTTGCATAGACTTTTGAAAAAAAAAACACACACAAACAAAAATGTATGACTTAAGCCAAAACTGTTTTGTTTTTCAATTCATTCATGATATGTAATTGTTGAATAAAATATTGTTAGGAGAATGCTGATTTTTGCACAAGAATACGACAAATGAAAACCGAAAACATACTGTTTGATAACACACACATGTTTTCTAAAATATTTCGTGTTGTTATATATTCAATAATCCATCCTTGTGCCTCCTTATTTAGCTTTAGTTGGATTTTGTGTTGTTTTGTCAAATTTAATATACAATGCCCGAGAAATATTGTAAAAGGCGTAACTTATCTGGTCAGTGACAAACTCACAACAAAACTTGTGCTAATAATCATTTTACTTCCTTTATAATTTTGTAGGATACAATAATTTATGACATCATCAATATTTGCGTTGTTTCAATCATGCGTCACAAAGTCCCTTTGTTGAATGGACTAACCGCGTAAAATGTGTTACGCATTGCCTTTCGATTAGGTCAAGTTAATAAATAGTTGATTAGTTATAGTGGGTTGAGCTATAGAAATTTACTTACAATACCATACTAGGTTTAGAAAATATTTATACATCTTGAAAATAATATTTCAATTTAGTTTACCGTTTGCATTTTTGATAAAAGTTTTTTGTATTGATTGGATTGAACGATATACCTATATGTATTTCATGTTTATCTAATACTTTTCTAATATTTATTTGCAATTTTTGACTTTATAAACTTGTAGTGTCTATGTATATAAAATGCATATCTTGTTGATACAAAATTATCAAACTTTTTTAATAATTGCATCTTAAAGTCCATCCCTATTCTTAGAGCATAGTGTTTAAATTGTTGTTATAAAGGTTTAAATAAAATCATTCTTTAACATGTGCTTACATTTTGCTAAACATAATATACGAGTATTATGAGTTTTGATTTTAAAAAAATAATAATATATCAACTTTGAATGCGCTTACTATAATATATCATTCATTGGCAACTATCTTGAATTGTGTCACAATATAGCCGATCAATTCTTGTTTCCTATCATATATAACATATATACAGATGAGCTGTAAGTATCAACAATATGTAATCCAGGGCCTATTTTGAAGATTGATCAATATTTTTTATAAATATATCTGTTACTCTCGTTCATCAGTATCATAATGTAGGAAATATAGATGTTGTGTTGATTAGTGTTTGTTTTAAATATTTTATTCTCATTTCGGGATATATTACGATTGTTTAATGATGCGTTCCACAATGTTTATATAATGATTGAAGGCACATATGTTTAAATTATTACCAATCCGTGTTATAATGAATGGAATACCATGAGAAATACTATAATGTAATTACCAGAAGGAATTCAAGAAGAGTGTTATCGTAAAAGTAGAATGAAAAATTACAGTTGGACAAATATCAAATGCAAAAATGGAAAGTAAATTGAACCTTATATGTAAATATTTAGATAAAACATTTAAAAAACAACAACATAATATGAGAAATATTTCAAAGCAATCTGAAAACATACAAAATACTCATAGCCCGGCAAACATTGTATTGAATGTTGAATGATCGTGAAAGAGTATCGCTATATTATTCTGATACTAACACAATATCATTATTTAACACCACAATTTCTTACAGCATTTAACACCGTCGAGAAGTTAGCTCAAACATTTTCACAGTAAATTTCTGATGTGATGAAAACAACAGTTACTATCAATACTGCTATCATTCTGTCAATTCAAGAGATGCGATTTCCGCCTGGTGGAGATTTTACCTGGGTGGTAAATTCAACATTTATGATATCAAAATGTGTGTACATTTATAATTAACAAAATTTATATAATCATTTTCTTTTTGTTAGGTAACGTCGCACCAACACTGTATAGGTCATATGCTTTACTGCATTATTTCAGGCATGAACTGGTAGATCCAGACGTTCTGTATGCTAGCTGTTTAATTTACCTTCATCACATGAAAGAAGACAAAATTCCTGCCGAGAATCGAACCCACAGCGGTTAATTCGAACAAGTCCAGAAATGTATTGTTATTAATACATTGGAACGAAATGTCACACGGCACATTATAAACCAAAACATCGATACAAAAACTATTATCTACTTTACTTTATAATTAATCTATAAAAAAAAGTGCCAGATAGATCCTGTTGGTACGTAATAAAATAAAAATGGCATGTTTGTTATGTCTTTCCTGAAACAGAAAAATTAAGGCCTGTCAAAGTTTCATGTTCACTTTGTGATACCATTTTGACTTATAAAATGAACACTTGTTACATATTAAAAATATCAGGTTTATAATTCATCTTATCATTTTACATTTATTCTAATGAGTTATGCAGACATTCAAAGTGTTTCTGTTTTTAGCGCCAAAATATTTTATATATGGAAAAATGTGACTACAAGCGCTTCAATAATAAAAGTTGTGACTTGAATAAAAAAACGACTAAATGTCATGAATCGTCTTTCAGGAAAATTTTACTATCTGCAAAGTAATAAGTCAAAGCAATCAGAAAGTCTGCACACAGCATTTTTGACGTGCGAGATGAACTTGTAATTCTTTGATCTACCTTCAAGTAAAGTGTCGTTAATTACTGCATGATGATTACTTCTACATTTCTTGGTTTTAGTTTTTTCTTTATATGTTTATAGAGTTATGATAATTGTTTAATGACAAGAAAAAAAGAAACACGTTCCTCATTTTAGTTGTTTTCAAATCATATCACTCTTTTAATATCTTTGGTAAAATTTGGTTCAGAAATGAAAATCTTTGATGTCTTTCTTGAAAATTTAATTACAATTCTTACAAAGTCTTTTCTCAACCAGGTATTCCACACCAATACTACATCAAATAAAATTATTGCTTTGAGATTAAGTATACTTTCTTTTAAATAAATGAAAAATCAGTTACAGATGTTTTCATTTTAATGTGAATGTTTTAATATGAAAACTCGAAACAGAACCGATAACAATATCATTGAAAGATAATCAGAAAAACAATCCTATACCACATGTTGAGTCTAAAATATCATTCTTACAGCAGCGAACTTCAATTATATAGTTATTATTTCATATTAACAGAAACATGCATAGTATAAACTTAAATCGATTTTAAGTTGCAGCCCCAGTAACCGAGGAAACTATGATAATTTTAAACAAATTCACTACTAACATGATATAATGTAATTAATTTATTTCTCACATGATAGAAAATAAACATATTTTAGAAATCACAAAACAACAAAAAAACAGGTAGTAATGGATTGCTTTTAAGTATGATATCACGCAATCCTCTTCAACCCATTCAATTAAATTCAAATTTGTTTATAAGTTCGAACTTTATATAATCTCATATTGTGTTTTAAACCATCTGTAAATGATTTTAAACAGTATAACAATAATTGAAAACATTTTAATGTTATCTCATATGAACGATATAAATAAACAGCAGGATCTGACGAATTAGCCATTAAAATTTTAAATATCTTATTTTAATCTAAAACATCATTTCATTATATTATTCCGACGTGGAATGCGTGTATATGACTGGTATAATTATAATAGCAGATACACTGGTTAAACAAAAGGCTAAAGAAAGACATTCTAATAGTTTGTACATTAATTAAATGATATTTAGATATAACATATATTTCTCCACCTTCCCTAACCCGAGAAGTAAAGCGAATGAATTTTAAAACATGCATATGTATATGGAGTCTTCGCAAATATTATCTTAAACTCATGAATGCCATGAAACATGCTATCAAATAAATTACTGAGAAACGAATTATAATATAACTATGCATATAGCACAAACGTATCTTGTGCAGATACATTCTAATTTGTTTATGTGAGTCACCATGGACTAGGAGTAAATGAGGATAATTAATGGACAAAGAAACAGACTAGAATGCAACCAAAGACTTGAGCAAATGAGATCGAAATTTCTCTTCTCCCGATTTATTACCGACATTTCAATACTTTCATTACTGATTTTTGTTCTTGAGATACTAAATAAGATACTCTATGAACCATGCGACCGAACGTTTTCCCAATAGAATAATTTGGCATGTGAAAGCAAAAAACAATCAAGTCAATAAAAATGTCATTGCGTTCGTTAATGGAAAAGTCATTTATTCAAGCATTGTTAGATACAAGTCACTGCTGCACAGCAGACATTTCTTATGCATTAGCTGTAAAGTTGTTTAAAATATTAAAGTGACGTCGTTTTTTCTGCATTAACAATTCAAGACGAACCAATGCTGTTTATAAATAATTAAAAGTCTCATTATTTTAAACAAGATGTCCTTAAAATAAAACGAACGCATGCAGGATCATGGGAAACCCCAATATGTACATTTGAGCCGTGCCAAGACAAAACCAACATAGTGGGTTTGCGACCAGCATGGATCCAGACCAGCCTGCGCATCCGCGCAGTCTGATCAGGATCCATGCTGTTCGCTTACAAACCCTGTTACAGGTAGAGAAACTGATAGCGAACAGCATGGATCCTGATCAGACTGCGCGGATCCATGCTGGTCGCAAACGCACTATGTTGCTTTTGTCGTGACGCGGCTCATTTAAATTGTTGTAATAATTACAATTTACTGAACATATGAATGTAAAGGATTTGTTTTATCAAACTGTTCTTTAATATCTGGTGCTTCCGTTTCACGAATATTTTTTTCTAACACGTTTTATTTACTTTTCGTTTTTTAGTAACAAATATATATTTTAACATTGTTGATATACGGCTATCTTATAAAATAGCTTTAAAAATTCAAACCCATACACTGTATATCATGAGCGTATTTTAAGGAAAGAATACAAAGGGAGACTACTGCATTGGTCTATCTCGGTCATAATTTAATATGCATTACTTTATATACCGAACACCAGAAATGTGACTTACTTTGTACTACGTGACAATT